ACGAAGAAGAAATAAATCCAAAATGCTAGAATTGGAGTTATGGCAGTCGAAACAATTGTTGACTAGCTTGCTCCTATTTCCATCTTGTGAGAAATATAATCAATTGCTCAATTTTTGACACAGGTCAAGTGATCCAGGTCTTCCTCATTTCAAATGAGAAGAGCCCATATGATCCAATAATTCCCACAAAACAATTCTTCATAAGGTAATGAAATTTTTTCTCGGATTCCATAACTCAAAGAAAGATCATTAATAAACTCTAATTGAACCAATATCGTTCCAACCTTTCAAAAAAGAGGGCCTTTTACATATTTACCAAAACCCCAAAATATGAAAGGATGAGAGACTGTTACGGTTGATGAAAGAGCACATGGATTCAGATCAATAAATTAGGCACTTTCCAACTCCTCCAAAAAAGTTACTGTTCAAAAACGCAGTAATTTCCGAATGACTGACATTTAACACCCAAAAAAAGAGTTAAAAAAATCAATACCTCGTGATCAACAGAATGGTTCAAATCTAGAACTACAGATTTGTTGAAACGGATTATAAAACAGACAAAGAAGTATTGGACATTACAAGATCAGAGGCTTCGGATTCCAAAGCCCAATGTTGCCATCAACAAGTCCACCAGCTATGAGCCCGAAAGAATACTGCTCGGAATTGGGAAGAGCTTTCCCCCAAGACAGCCTGTTGAAGCGCTCGGAGCTAGGAGCCGAGCCAGCCGGGATGAGCTGCTGATCATCTGATGCAAAGTCAAGCTTGAAAATGTCGAGGTTGGCAGACGAACTGAAGGCCAGATCCACCGCCCCTGCCATTGTCCCGGCCGCCAAGTACGTGCCCTCCGGCGCGAAAGCTGCCGTGGCCGATCTGTTGACAACTTTTACATACGCCATGGCTCACCAAATTTAGCGATCAAACCAACTATAGATATTTCCCGAGGGCAATATGTACAGATTGTTGATGATTGGTACAACCCAATGTTAGGGTTTATGGGATTCGCAGCAGAGAGCGATCGAGACAAAGAACTAAGGGGTATATCTTGTGGAGTATTCCTTCGGGTTTCACCTTCTCACTGTGCCCCCGTCTGTTCTGTGCTTTTCTTTGACTTGGCTTATTAATGGGGAATAATAAAAAAAATGTAAAATTTTTAAAAATACACATACTATAAACTTTTAAATCTCCTTTTATTATTAGAAAAGTACTAAAAAAGTAGATTTGTGATAAAATAGAAGGGTATTATTGATATTTATCCTTAAAAAGTATACTAAAAAAGGAAATGGGAAGATTATTTCCGGACAGACCAAAAAGGAAAGTGGAAAGAATATTTCCGGACGGAGGGAGTATTTCCTTATCTAATTAGACCATGTGGAGAGCGTACATGGTAAAACCCGTAGTAATTGATATATTTAAATGTTCATTTTAAATATGCAGTACTCATTCTAAAATAAAATAGTACTTATTTTAAATTAATGTAAAACTCATTTTCACACATTTATTTAATACTCATTTACGAATAAGATAGTATTCATTTTGAAACAAAGCGATACTCATTATCTAATAAAATAGTATTCCTTACTCTTTATTTTCTTCAAATTTTACAGAATCTTCATCTTCAATCAATTCACCTCATCACCGTTCCTAATCTCCCCAGCTACAGTTCTCCAAACATCCTCCCCACTCATCTCCTTCATCGCACATCCTACAGGAAGCCGCCACCCCATCTATTACCGATCCCAGCCTCCTCCACGTAGCCCCCACCGCATACGAACTTCTCGTTGCATCCACGAACTAGGGCGGCTGTCCCTCCTTCGTTGGTGCGCCTCCCCTTCTTCCGTCGATCTAATTGCCGGCTGTACCTAAAAAACGGTACAGCCGGATGTACCTAATAATTTGCGGACCATGTGTAATGGTTCGGGGCGTTTTTCCCCATTTGGAGCCATCTTAGCAACTAATTTTAAATTTTTTATTTAACTATTTTAAAAATAAAAATAAAACTTGAAAATGATTAATAAAAACATAAAAGAAAAAGGCTTTTAAAAGAAATTTATTTATTGGGTTTCAGCCTTGGCCTTTCATCCATCAAGACTTTGCTTGGTAACACCGTTTTCGATTAGCGTTAGCGTTTTGGATAAAATTTTAATGGTGCGGATTAATTCTGAAAATGCAAATGCTAAATGCTACCGTCGGATAGCTTTTTCAAAACGCCAACTCTAATATCTGACGCTAATACCAAACGGGGCCCAAGTATATCCCACTCCCGATGCTTTGACCACATTTTACGCTTGAGGGGCATGCAGATGTGTGTGACATCATTTAATATGGGCACATTAGGGCAACCACATCAAGCGGTGGAGGAATTAAAAGGAGACCTTCTCTCTTCCACGTCATCTTTAGGGCATCCAATATACTTTTCCTATACTTCTCTTTATTCCTTACATCAAAAGGACTACTAAAGATTGTTATCTCTTACCCACAAAATTAAACTCAACACTCTAATATAATTAAAAGTGGAAAGAGATTGGCACATGGCATGGAGTGATTGGACAATCCTTTTCTCTTTTTCCCTGTGGAGGACTCACTCTCCTTGCTTGTCATGGAAGATCCTCAGAAGATGTACTCCTCCCACTTCTCCATCCAATGAGCTAACCTCTCCATAATAGTATTTCTCCTCTGACATTCTCCTCCATCCAATGTGGATGGCCTTACACATGGTCTTACAAAGAAAGTTTTCAATTTAGGAAAATACCCGTTAATATTTGCCATAGCTTGTTAGTTAATAACATATAATACGCGTATTATACTTACGTACGTATAATATGCATATAATACTCACGTATGCATATGATTTTCAAAAATACTTTGAAGTATACATATATTTGAGATTATACTTATAATTATGTATAATATATATTGAGTGAATATTTCATTATAATTTTTTTTGAACAAATATTAATTTATTCCAACAAATATTTAAACAAAATAATATTTTGTACCAACTACTTATACCATACTTAATTATTATCACAAAATTACTATGTACTCCATATTATATTTACCATGAGATCCATAAAGTTGATTTTTTTTAATTTATATTAAATATTAACTACTAAATTAATTAATTTAAAAATATATACTCTCTCCATTCTATGAAAAATGTTACATTTGTGGATGGGAAAATGTATTAATTGATTCAAAATTTGAAAAGACTGAAAAAGCCTCTGTCTAAGTTACATAGGAATGGGTTTTAGAGAACCCATACCCAATGAGATATTATTAGAGAAGATCTGTTGGGACTCATAAGAAGTTGAAGGATGAACCTACAAATGGCCAACTAATATAAGAGGTAAACAGAATCAGAAAGGAGCTTCGAAATATACTTAAAGCTTCCTATTTTCTAAAGCGCAAACACATGAAACAATTCTGGATCATTGAGAGTGACCAAGATACAACCTACTTTCATGCTTGGATAAAGAAAAGGAAACTACACAACCATATCCTCTCCATCTTAGACAATAAAAGAAACACAATTGTAGAAACTAAAAGAATTGTAGAGATTTTCTTAAAATTCTATAAAGATGTGTTAGGATCTTAGAGTATGACTGAGGAGATAGATCCTAATGTCATTCAAGAAGGAAATACCCTGAGCATCCAACAATAACGGGAACTTATTAAGCCTATTAACCCACATCAGATCAAATATATTGTATTCCGTATTCCCGGTACAAAGAGCTCTGGCCCTAATGGATTTGGGAGTGGGCTCTTTAAAGAACAATGGCCTATGGTGGGACAGTTGGTGACTGATGCAGTAATGGAGTACCCTGAATCAGATAAATACAACTCACCTGTATTTATCCCAAAGAAGAACAACCTAAATCTACATCTGATTACAAACCAATAATATATAATGGCCTGTTTGGAAACATGTATTTGGATTTGAAATCTAGATTTGGTACAAATACCTTGTTTGGCAACCTAAAGAATTTGAATTTGATCCAAATTCCTCTCATTAATAACCAACCCAATTACAAATTCATTCCCAAACCCATGTCATTTGAAATCCCTAGCCCAATTAAAATTAAGTGTCGACATTCACTCTCGCTCGTCCATAGCCTCTTTCGATCCCTCTCGTCCATCGCCACTTCAGTTTGCGTCTTTCATCTCCGATCGAGATCGCGTTCAAGCTGAGTATTCGAGTGGCTAGGTCTGAATCGCGTTCATCCCTCTGTCTTACAAAAACTCCGATCTAGGTATATCTAGAAACCATATTTTAAACCCTAGCTATGGTTTCCTTGAAGTCCAAGGTTGAGGATGATGAATGAATGTGAATTGTTGACTAAGCCTGCGAGAGTGCGAAATAGATGACCTGAGTGGGCAATGGCTTAACCAGCTTCATGATTTTAGATGTAGAGACTCCAAAGTTTTGTTCTTTATGAAGCTTATTTGCATTTTTCCCCCATAATTTTAAAGCTTGTTTTTTTGGGAATTCTAAATTGATTGCAACCCATAGTTTGTTTAAGCAAATCAACTACATATGCATTTTGAATGGAGATTTGGGTAGTAATTTTGGATCCTAGCAATCTTCTTCCAAGTAGAGGAGTCATAAACTAACTCTTTCCGCATAGTCATTGCCATTGTGGTATTTAGACTTCATATAAGATGCCCATATACTGCTCTGATTGCTATAGGTGTTTCACTATAGTTTGAATGAGTATGCCACTTAAATCTGCCCTAAATCTCTGATGGCAATTGGCATATCTTTTCCCAACTGAGCCAGTGATGTTTATGTTCTCCAGCTTTGAATCCCCATAAGATAATGGCCATTTGCATGTGTATTATCTTGATGATAGATTTATGAATCTGGTGTGTAGCTATAACAAGTAGTGGAATGAAGGATAGAACATTTTTAATTAATACTTCGGTATCAAACTACCCATGTGATTGAGCACTTTTACTATACCAGCTAGGGTATATGTCAAAATGCTCAAACACCAAACACCAAAATGGAAATGAATTTCTTGGCAAACACAAGAAATTCAAAATTCATAATTTCAAATCCAAATTCTGTTTGGGAACAAGTTCAAGACTTCAAGTACTCCTTCCTTATTTTTCCTAATTTCTTGGAACAAGTTCTGTTCCAGAGCGATTCCCCTGCAAAACCCGCAAATCATATCATGAACCCGACATGTTTTTATCTCCCCCATTGGGTTTTTCCTGTCAAGCATGAGTAAGTTCCTGGTGACAAGATCACTCAGGTTCTGCTCTGCAACTTCTTCCAAACTTCTCCCGAGGGCGCACGAACCCTTCTACAATCCACAAGCGCGTCAGCATCCAAGATGGGACCACGTGTTCTTCGGGGAACACAGCCATATGGAGACAGCATTCCCTCAAGTCGTTCTGTATGAACTTGCTCACATTTTCAGACACATTCTCCCATTCCTTTTTAAGGAGCCGGGGTGCGTGTGTTTTCACAAACAGATCCACAAGAATTCCTCCCACCACCACGACCGTGAGTAGGACTCCATAACACTGGCCGGCTATCTGTAACCCAATGTCTCTCAAGTCCAGAGGGCAACACCTGTCTTCTTCTTCTTCTCCATTATTATTCCCAAATACCTCCAATTGGAGAAGTCTACACCTTTCATCTACTGTAAAGAAGCACAACATGTGGGGGTCCGTGCAAACTTTAGCACGTCCACCAACAATCTTTTCGCGACTGGTGATCATGACTTTACTCAACCGGTTGCTACTAGGAAGCATGTTTTTTATGACGTTCCAGTCCTCAAGACTCCACACATCATCCATTACTAACAAGAATTTCTCCTTGGACAGAAACACACGAAGTGACTGGGCTAATTCCTCATCACATAGGCCGGACATCATAATGTCGCTGCTACTGCTGGTGAATTTTCTCAAAATGGTAAGAAACACTTCTTGGTTGTTGAAACTCTGAGAAACATATACCCATATCCGGATTGGGAACTGATAAGAGATGTCTTCATTCTCAAATATCTTCCATGCAAGCGTTGTCTTCCCCAAGCCAGGCATACATATGATGGAGAAGACATCCAGCTCCTTTTCTTATTTCATCAGATAACCTATTAATGTTTTTTCCTCATCTTCAAAACCCACAACTTTGTCTCGTTTGATAGACTGATCTTGTGGGGAAGGTACGTAAAATATAAACAAACATTACAAATTGTTACTACGTATGTACAATGCAGCATATATAAAACAACCTAACCACAGTGCCAATTTCTGCTACCTAGCTTTTTCTGATGAGTGAATTGCTTTTGTGATGTGAAAATTTTATTTTCCAAAAGTGAAAAGGGTAAAAAATTTATTTTATTAAACTTAATAGCCAAATTAGGAAAGTGAAAAGAAACGAAAAAATAGCACAAAAAAGAAAGTGAGAAGAACCAAAGAGGAAGGAAGCCACGACGAAGTATTTATTACTCAAGGTAATTTACATAGTAATATAAAGAGCGAACGACAATTAATTTTAGAGTAAAACATATGGAAAGAACAAAAATACGACATTCATGTTATTATATTCAAAATAGGACCTATAATATCATTAATGTCAAGGATTCACTATTTTTTGGGGTTTAGGTAGCACTCAATGCACCTTTCCATGCCGATCGGTTATTTGGATACAGTCGTTCTATGTTCTAAGGTAATATTGTTGTAATGTCAGTAATGCCAACATATAAAACTCAAAAAACATTGTAGAAAGCCTATATAAAATGTCACATTCATATAACAAAAATAGTATTATTTTAGAGATAAAATGGTGTGACTTCTATTTTGGGGATAAGACATATGGTTTTCTCCTATTTTAGGTGACTTATTTAATATAAATATTTGAGATATTATTTAAGAACTTTCATATTTAAATTAATTATACATTAAAATTAACCAAAATTATTAAAAACTTGACTTTTTTTTATTTTTATCAATTTAAATTAGAGATATATTATTCTTTTAAAAGAATACAGAGTGGATGGTTATAAATATATATACACCAAGAACCCAGTAGAATCCCACGAATGTATAGAGTTTGGGAGTGGGTGTATGATTGTACGCAGACCTTACTTCTATTTGAAAGTAGAGACTCTTTCTAAGAAACCCGTAGCTAGCTCGAGCTACATAGAAAAGTTAATAAGATTAGAATCTTATAAAACACGCAATGTCAAAAGGCAAAAACTATTACCTAGATCAAAACGATTGCCTCACTGCCCTGTCCTAAATCTCCAAACTTTCTTGTTTAAAGTTATATCCTCGATAAAGGTCAAAAGTCCTAAATCATATCTAATATATAAAACAATAAAAATTTAAATAAAGTTTTATTTAAATTAACTTTAAAGGATTTAATATAAAAAACAAAAAAGGATCAAAGTAAAACAAACTTATGAATAATTTTAAAATATTATCATGTCTAATTATTATAGCATATATTGGGTAATTTTTATACTCCCTGCGGTCCTAAAAGTCTTTCTTGTTTTGACTTTTTTGATCAAAGAGTGACACACTTTGACTATAAATTCTGAAAAAAATATTTTTAATTATAATATAAATTCAATAAAATTAGGTTCATCCTAGTATGTCGGGGGGTCATCCCATACATTGCTAAGCAATGTCGGACCACCTGAAATGGGAGCAACACGCACAGGCGTTAAAGATATTCAAAAATGAGATCATCATCTGACGATGAAAAAAGAGCTCTCATTTTATGTTGTTTCGCAACAGGTTGTTATCAATGGTGGCACAAGGCCAACGAGAACAAGGAAAATCGTTCCATTGCCCAGCCCAACGACAACCTAGAGGAGGTGGTGCCTATGTACGAAAAAAATGATAAAGAAAAGAAACAAAGAAACCGCCAAGAAATCTGAAGCCGAGAGATTCATAATGCACTAACGGCGGATTTGATTGAAGATATTTCTAGTCGCCTGAGTAATCACTAGTTTTTTCGTAATGTAATGTAATTTTTATTTTTTATTTATGTTGTCCTTATTCAAATCTTAATTTATTAATTTTATTTTTATTGAATGTATCTTTTATTTAATGAATTATTGTTGTTTAAATTCAATTAAATAATGAAAATTTATTTAATGAATTTTAGAAGATGTGAATTAAAAAAATGTGAAAATAGAGGTTTGAAGCCACAGTTTAAAACCTCAGGGTTTCAAACCCATTTCCAATAAAATTTTGGTGTAACTTAATGCTGAAGTGCTAGAGAGAGAAAGTTTGAAGCCCCGAGGCTTTACGACCATTTCCAGTGCTCGAATGGGAATCTGGGTGTATTATCTTATCTAATTATTATATTATTATATTGCCGGTGGGCGTTGTGCATTTGACAAGACAAGGAGTGCCAAGGGAGTAAGACCCGAGTTTGATTCATGACAACTGTGCTGGGAGGCAAATATGCTAAGCATAGGACCTCTGCAAGTACCAGGTGCAGACTCCACTCTTTGCCACCAATCTGCGATTAAAGTCCAATTACCTCTTCTCATCTTTTTTTATCTAATTATTATATCATACTCTCTCCGTCCCTAAATATTTGTCACACTTGTATTCCCGAGGCAAAATATCAAGTTTTTTGAATTCATTTAATATACATATTGGTGGTATAGAAAATAAAAAAATAAAATTTACATATCCAAAAACTACAGGAAAGTTCTTCGACATAAGAGGTGTCAAGAATATTTTATTTTATCAAATAACCAATGGAAACATGTAAATAAATAAAAATTCCCGCGACTACTGAAAAAGCAAGTGTGACAAATATTTTGGGACGGAGGGAGCATAACTATAAGTCAAAAACTGCAAAAAAAAAAAACAAAATTGAAAAGTCTGGCTTTACCTTTTTGGGTCCAGACAAGACAACCGCTGTTGGGAGCAGGTGGGTCCAGCGCAGGCGCCGACCAGGGAAGCAAAGCCAGCGTTGACCTTATGGCCCGTGCAAATCTTCAAACTGAAAAAGACATGACATTCCTAGTACCTTGAGGAACACACTGCAAATTGCTTGGACTTACATGCGAAGAACTTCAATTCTGTAATTTTGGGGTAAAAATGTTTCTCCCAACTCTGGAAATTAAACGACGAAATGAAAAAGATCAAAAGAACCAATTGACCCTGAAGATGTGAAGGGAAGATGAGATGCGATCCAATAAGAAAATTAGATATAGAGATCCCAATTCTAGAAATTAAGCGATGAAATTGCAGAGCATACCTGAGAAGACGATTAAATGAACAAATTGACCCTGAAGATGTGAAGGGAAAATGCTATTGAGGAGGTGCTGAGGAAGATGAGATGCGATAGAATAAGAAGATCAACGATGAGATGCTATCGAGTGGTTTGTCTACGGTTAGAAGAGAGAGAGCGAGAGTACCATGTGAGCGGTTTGATGCAAGTGGCCGAGTAACTTTTCACTGTTCACGCCTAAAACTTTGAGCGGGAAGTTTTTTTCTGCTGCTGTTGTAAATAGGGAGATGTCATGTGTTTCTATTAATCAAAAATATAAACCAAACCATGTTATTCATACCTTAGCATAAATGTAGTAAATTATCACGAAGAGCTAAACCAAGATAAGAAATCTTGATGGTCATTGAACCAAGTTTTTGTAAAAAGGAATTGTTATTTCCAAAGTAAACTGTAAGTTTGACAAATCCACAAAGGAAGTTTCAGCACAACCATCACTAAGAACATATATTATTTCTGATAGGAACTTTCAATGAAAGAAGTAGAACTAAAATTCAAGACCTTAAAACTAAAATTTAGAATATGAGGGGTGTGTTAATCAAGTTAAACCCAAAAAGATGTTAAGAACCTCAAGTTACCATTATCCATTATTCAAGAGCCTAGTATAAAAATTAAGCGGGATGTATTCCTCCTGCTATTGTAAATGGGGAGATTGATCGTAGTATAAAAGGTATAAATCATTGGTGAACATGTATTTTTGAAGTTCAAAAAAATTTAGGAGGTTTCTATACTTTAGGAACATATACGTCTAACAAAATCTAACAGATATGAAGACGAAAGCTAGAGGCTAGTACTCAAGTCTCTTTTAGGATCAAGAAAAATCTAGCCTTGAAGACAACTTAACTATAACCATACATAAAAAGGATGTTTTCAAGATGTTAAAACTCTCACCCTTTCATCTAAATTTTAAAAAACACAATCAAAGTGCATCTTTAGAAAGTGTAAACTCAACTGCCCAGTTGGTTTTGGGCATGGACCTCTATGATGTCCTGATAGCCATAGAATCCTATCGAAATCTTTGATCATGAAGAGGATTCTAATATGCAAACAACATGCATCTCTATAGGAAAAGTGCATCTTTAGAAATGTATACTCAACTTCCCTTGTTACCTCTTAGTCTTGGGAGAGGAATAAGATGATGTCCCCAGTCTGTGAAATAGGAGAAACATTAGAGGGAACGTGTGATCATAAGGTGGACTTACCAGTGACTTCTAAGCTTTGGGAGTGTAATAATGTGAAGCCCCCAGTCTTTGAAATAGGAGAAAAGATAGAGAAATTGATCCAACCAATAATGTCACTTCAGAAGCCACATTTCCTATAGAGATGCCTGTTGTTTGCATATTAGAATCCTCTTCATGATCAAAGATTTCGATAGGATTCTATGGCTATCAGGACATCATAGAGGTCCATGCCCAAAACCAACTGGGCAGTTGAGTTTACATTTCTAAAGATGCACTTTGATTGTGCTTTTTAAAATTTAGATGAAAGGGTGAGAGTTTTAACATCTTGAAAACACCCTTTTTATGTATGGTTATAGTTAAGTTGTCTTCTAGGCTAGATTTTTCTTGATCCTAAAAGACACTTGAGTACTAGACTCTAGCTTTCGTCTTCATATCTGTTAGATTTTATTAGACGTATATGTTCCTAAATTTTAGAAACCTCCTAAGTTTTGTTGAACTTCAAAAATACATGTTCACCAATGATTTATAACTTTTATGTTACGATCAATCTCCCCATTTACAATAGCAGGAGCAATACATCCCGTTTAATTTTTATACTAGGCTCTTGAATAATGGATAATGGTAACTTGAGGTTCTTAACATCTTTTTGGGTTAACTTGATTAACACACCCCTCATTTTCTAAATTTTAGTTTTAAGGTCTTGAATTTTGGTTCTACTTCTTTCATTGAAAGTTCCTATCAGAAATAATATATGTTCTTAGTGATGGTTGTGCTGAAACTTCCTTTGTGGATTTGTCAAACTTACAGTTTACTTTGGGAATAACAATTCCTTTTTACAAAAACTTAGTTCACTGCCCATCAAGATTTCTTATCTTGGTTTAGCTCTTCGTGATAATTTACTACATCTAGGCTAAGGTATGAATAACATGGTTTGCTTTATATTTTTGATTAATAGAAACACATGACATCTCCCTATTTACAACAGCAGAAGAAAACAACTTCCCGCTCAAAGTATGTTTGAAAGCGTGATTTGTGTTTGCTTGGAACTGCAATTCAAGAATTACTAGTGTTTTATGTTCTTTTATTTCAAGAAGGTTAGTTTGTACTCCCTCCGTCCTAAAATTAACTTCTCATTTGGCTTTTCACGGTCTCCAATGGGACACTTTGACCATCAATATCTCAATTTTTATAAAAATATATTTTATAAAAATTATATATTTCAAAACTATATTCCAAAATGAATCTATTCCTAATAAATTTATATGAAAATTCAATGTATTTTTTCCTTAATCTACGGTCAAAGTTTAAAAAGTTTGACTGCAAAAGTCAAACTGAGAAATTAATTTTATGACGGATACATATTAGAATAGAACTATCAGGTTGATATGAAACAAAGTTTGATTTTTTTGTAATTGTATTTTAGATTTGTTGAATTCAATGTTTAAAATTTGTAAATGGTTTGAGGTATTATTCCTATTTTATTTGATGTGCGTAGGTAAATTTCATTTAAATTCACTTTAAATGATTCAAATTGTGTTCCCTAATGGTTTGCCGTCATCTCCATTTTGAAGTGAGTATGTATTTTTTTATCTATTTCCTTTTAACTTTGCTTTCTATGTTGGCATTTGAAGTAGAGAGTATATTTATTTTTTTCAAACAATAATTCCTACCTAAATGTGTTGTCTATTAATCTTATGTGCATTGCTTTTGCTGCTGGAGAACAAAAGAAACATATAGTGGTGGAACCGCAACTGAAAGAAAAAGAAATTGTTCCTAGGCGTAGAGTGCGAAATTGGAAGGCTGTTCCAGAATCTGATGTGGCCCCTTTGGCCATTTGTTTAACCATTTGTATCTCATGTATTGAGAATTGCGACTAAGTGAGCCATTTTTGTCCTCATGATGAATTTGGTTGAGGCAGTCACAAAAATACTTGGTCAATATTCAAATAAAAAAGAAGAAAGAAGACAAAGGGAAGAAGCGCCAAGAAGAATGACAGGTGAAAAAACTTTTACTTAGTATAATTTTTCAATTCTATGTGTTTTTACACTCTCTTCCAATTTTAAGTAGTTATGTTAATTTTTATTAGGATTTATTGACAATTTAGTTCATGTGTTATTTGATTAAAAACAACTTTGAGTTTATATGTACTAACTGAGCAAAAAACCACTAATTTGGGTCTTGGTCAAGGTCGCCTGAATGGGAGACGATAGTATTCTGAAAATGCATATTTTTGCTTCACCCTTTTGAATTATCACGGTTTGGATCATCCTTAGTCTCCAATTTTGTATTTTTAAAGAAAGAAGCAGCGCGAAGAAGACACGGTTTGGGCTCAACGAAACTCATTTTCATCAAATAAACTTCAGTCAAACTCTTCTCCTGATCAAGTGGGATTGTCATTAACTCGGTGTTTTTTTACTTAATTTGTTAGTTTAGTAGTGTTATGAATTTTCAAATGAATACATAAAGATGATTTTTCAAAGCGAGAATGATTTCACAGTTTATTTCACAAATCAATTCACACATCTGCATTAAATTGCCTTAATCTCCCACTATTTCACACAACAATTTCATTCACATCTTACCACTCAAGCAGATTGTGGAGGTGACATACAGAGAGCACGATCCTGACTTTCTAATCTGATGTTTTGAGCAACACACATTAGCGAGCAGAGGTGATGACGAAGGAGGAACATCTATGGCCTCCTGCAACACGCATATTATGGAGCAATGATTAAATTGAAGAAAGGGCAGATTGAGAAACATCCCAATGGTCTTCTTAAAAAAAAGGTATTTTCTTCAATTTTCTATTTTGTTAAAGAAATGCAAGTGTACTTTCTGTTAGAATATATAAATAACTCTTCCTGTTGTTTGCATTTTATCCTCTTTGGGTACAAAAAATTCCTTTAAGCTTTCTCCTTTTTCATAGACGGGTGATCCAACCAATAATGTCACTTCAGAAGTCACATTTCCTATAGAGATGCCTGTTGTTTGCATATTAGAATCCTCTTCATGATCAAAGATTTCCTCTATCTTTTCTCCTATTTCAAAGACTGGGGCTTCACGTTATTACACTCCCAAAGCTTAGAAGTCACTGGTAAGTCCCCCTTATGATCACACGTTCCCTCTAACGTTTCTCCTATTTCACAGACTGGGGACTTCATCTTATTCCTCTCACAGGACTAAGAGGTAACAGGGGAACCCACTTTATGATCACAAATTTCCTCCGACGTTTCTCCTATTTCACAGACTGGGGATTTCATATCTTTTCTCTCCCAAGATTTAGAAGTCACTAGTAGAGATGCCATTAAAGGAAGATCATCATAGCCTTCAGTTTTCTTTATAGTCCCAACATTACGGCGTCTATGTATTCCACCCAGTGTGCTTCTCCTAGAGTGTTTTATGTTCTTCTATTTCAAGAAGGTTAGTTTGTACTCCCTCCGTCCTAAAATTAACTTCTCATTTGACTTTTCACGGTCTCCAATGCAACACTTTGACCATCAATATCTCAATTTTTATAAAAATATATTTTATAAAAATTATATATTTTTATAAAATATATATAAAATGCAAACAACAGGAAGAGTTATTTATATTTTAACAGAAAGTACACTTTCATTTCTTTAACAAAATAGAAAATTGAAAAAAATACCTTTTTAAGAAGACCATTGGGATGTTTCTCAATCTGCCCTTACTTCAATTTAATCATTGCTCCATAATATGCGTGTTGCAGAAGGGCATAGATGTTCCTCCTTCGTCATCACCTCTGCTCGCTAATGTGTGTTGCTCAAAACATCAGATTAAAAAGTCAGGATCGTGCTCTCTGTATGTCTCCTCCACAATCTGCTTGAGTGGTAAGATGTGAATGAAATTGGTGTGTAAAATAGTGGGAGATTAAGGCAATTTAAATATGCTGATGTGTGAATTGATGTGTGAAATAAACTATGAAATCATTCTCGTCTGAAAAATCATTTTTATGTACTCATTTGAAAATTCATAACACTACTAAACTAACAATTTAAGTAAAAAAAACACCGAGTTAATGACAATCCCACTTGATCAGGAGAAGAGTTTGACTGAAAATTATTTGATGAAAATGAGTTTCATTGAGCCCAAACCGTGTCTTCTTCGCGCTGCTTCTTTCTTTAAAAATACAAAATTGGAGACTAAGGATGATCCAAACCGTGATAATTCAAAAGGGTGAAGTAAAAATATGCATTTTCAGAATACTATCGTCTCCCATTCAGGCGACCTTGACCAAAGCCCAAATTAGTGGTTTTTTGCAAAGTTAGTACATATAAACTCAAAGTCGTTTTTAATCAAATAAGTGAAATAACACATGAACTAAATTGTCAATAAATCCTAATAAAAATTAACATAACTTCTTAAAATTGGAAAAGAGTATAGAAACACATAAAATTGAAAAATTATACTGAGTAAAAGTTTTTTCACCTGTCATTCTTCTTGGCGCTTCTTCCCTTTGTCTTCTTTCTTCTTTTTCATTTGAATATTGACCAAGTATTTTTCTGACTGCCTCAACCAAATTCATCATGATGACAAAAATGGCTCACTTAGTCGCAATTCTCAATACATGAGAGACAAATGGTTAACAAAACGCCAAAGGGGCCACATTAGATTCTGAAGCAGCCTTCCAATTTCGCACTCTACGCCTAGGAACAATTTCTTTTTCCTTCAGTTGCGGTTCCACCACTATATGTTTCTTTTGTTCTCTACGCCTAGGAACAATTTCTTTTTCCTTCAGTTGCGGTTCCACCACTATATGTTTCTTTTGTTCTCCAGCAGCTAAAGCAATGCACATAAGATTAATAGACAACACATTTAGGCAGGAATTATTGTTTGAAAAAAAATATACTCTGTACTACAAATGCCAACATAGAAAGCAAAGTTAAAAGGAAATAAATAAAAAAAATACATACTCACTTCAAGATGGAGATGACGGCAAACCATTAGGGAACACAATCTGAATTATTTAAAGTGAATTTAAATGAAATTTACCTACGCACATCAAATAAAATAGGAATAATACCTCAAACCATTGATAATTTTGAAACATTGAATTCAACAAATCTAAAATACAATTACAAAAAAATCAAACTTTGTTTCATATCAACCTGATAATTCTATTCTAATATGTACAAACTAACCTTCTTGAAATAAAAGAACATAAAACACTCTAGTAATTCTTGAATTGCATTTCCAAGCAAACACAAATCACGCTTTCAAACATACTTGAAAGTGGTAACAAACAATGAGAGACTGGTAACAAATAGACTAATTAAGACTGATACGGAGTAATTCATAAAATTCCCATAAAAAACCAAAATCTTAGTAATAATTAATGTAATCAATTGATTGAAGATAAATTATAGCAAAAAAAGTTAGAAATATTTAAAGACAGATAAAATTTTAACCAGCTTGATTGGCAGGATCACTTAGTGTGTATTAGAAACCCTCTAGAGTGCCATGGTAGCATCATAAATTAAACTTCTGTTCACATACTCTGAGCCATTTCACCGAATAGGTGGTGACTACTCTTGGCCCGTGCAAATCTTCAAACTAAAAAAAGACATGACATTCCTAGTACCTTGAGGAACACACTGCAAATTGCTTGGACTTACATGCGAAGAACTTCAATTCTGTAATTTTGGGGTAAAAATATTTCTCCCAACTCTGGAAATTAAACGACAAATGAAAAAAGATCAAAAGAACCAATTGACCCTGAAGATGTGAAGGGAAAATGAGATGCGATCCAATAAGAAAATTAGATATAGAGATCCCAATTCTAGAAATTAAGCGATGAAATTGCAGAGCATACCTGAGAAGATGATTAAATGAACAAATTGACCCTGAAGATGTGAAGGGAAGATGCTATTGAGGAGGTGCTGAGGAAGATGAGATGCGATTGAATAAGAAGATCAACGATAAGATGCTATCGAGTGGTTTGTCTACGGTTAGAAGAGAGAGAGCGAGAGTACCATGTGAGCGGTTTGATGCAAGTGGCCGAGTAACTTTTTACTGTTCACGCCTAAAACTTTGAGCGGGAAGTTTTTTCTGCTGCTGTTGTAAATAGGGAGATGTCATGTGTTTCTATTAATCAAAAATATAAACCAAACCATGTTATTCATACCTTAGCCTAGATGTAGTAAATTATCACGAAGAGCTAAACCAAGATAAGAAATCTTGATGGTCAGTGAACCAAGTTTTTGTAAAAAGGAATTGTTATTTCCAAAGTAAACTGTAAGTTTGACAAATCCACAAAGGAAGTTTCAGCACAACCATCACTAGGAACATATATTATTTCTGATAGGAACTTTCAATGAAAGAAGTAGAACCAAAATTCAAGACCTTAAAACTAAAATTTAGAAAATGAGGGGTGTGTTAATCAAGTTAAACCCAAAAAGATGTTAAGAACCTCAAGTTACCATTATCCATTATTCAAGAGTCTAGTATATAAATTAAGCGAGATGTATTCCTCCTGCTATTATAAATGGGGAGATTGATCGTAATATAAAAGGTATAAATCATTGGTGAACATGTATTTTTGAAGTTCAACAAAATTTAGGAGGTTTCTATAATTTAGGAACATATACGTCTAATAAAATCTAACAGATATGAAGACGAAAGCTAGAGTCTAGTACTCAAGTGTCTTTTAGGATCAAGAAAAATCTAGCCTAGAAGACAATTTAACTATAACCATACATAAAAAGGGTGTTTTCAAGATGTTAAACTCTCACCCTTTCATCTAAATTTTAAAAAGCACAATCAAAGTGCATCTTTAGAAAGTGTCAACTCATCTTTTTTAATGTCGTCATGGATGATTATGACTTTTTGAGTACATGGGGTCGAAGACACATCATGAAAACAAATCTCATGGGTTCAATTGGCGAAGCCAAGGAGGGTGACGAGGCAAAACGGAGGATCTAAATCATGAGAATGTCTCTACCAGGGAGATAAAAGGTAAGCCCTAGAACTATGAAAGCCTGTGAGAGGTAAAAAAGAACTTACTTCTGATTCATTTAAATATAATTTAAAAAAAGATAAAAAAGACAACATTATAGGTTCTCGTTTATGGGGGTTTATTGAGGTTATGGTTCGATAAACAAGCACCTCAAAGCGAGGCACCCCATGGAGTGTGTTGTGCTAAAGAGAAAGGTAAACAAGCACAGACTTCTCGTTTCACCAACAAGGGTAGGAGCGGCCTTTTTGTTTGTACCGATGAGCAAAATAAACAAAAAAAAGTGACTGAAATAATTTGTGAAGAGAGTTTTCCGTATAGGTTCTACGAAAAATGTGGTTTTGTTGATTATTGTTGAAATGTACTAAACTTTCAAGCCACACACACACACACACACACACACACAAACATACATATGGGATCGACTACAATTTTGTGGATTTGAAGTAGCTTCGAAGAGCTACTCCATAAACTGTATTCGATGTCCAAAAGCAAAAGCAAACTTTTTTATGCCCATATTAGGTCCATGTTTTTAGAGATTGAAAAGAGGATTCCCTTAAATCACATGTCCCGTGTACTCTTGATTTCCTTGAGGCTATAATTTGGAACGGGAAAAGGAAGAGGATAACGGACAACAATTGGGTTGAGATAGAACAGCGAACGGGAAAATGAAGAAAGGGCAATGGGCTGTAATTAGGTGCTTTAATATGGTGTCATCTAACCGGAAGGCGTCGTCGTACCGAAAGTTGGCATCTGACTAGAGTTGATCCCTCTGTGTGTGTGTGTGTGTATAGGATAAATATACAGATAAAGTCATAAAAAAGCACCATTCCAACATTTGATAATATTTAAAGCTCTGCACACGCATACCTCAAGGGGAAGAGTATAACCTATCATAAGAATGATAGATGTGAACTTCAAAGCCCTTCTTGTCAAAGCCCTCTTGTTCTTGCTGAATTTCCCCTGCTGATTCCAATGCAGCAGGACTGCAGTCAACCAATTCAATCACTTTAAGGCCTCCTATATATCCAATCTCTGTAGGGATTCTCTCCAAATCATAGCAATGCCTCATATACAGTTGTTCTAGCCCGGGAAAGTGGGAGTCATTAGCATCCCAGCTCTTGAAATTGAGGTATTGAATCAACAAGAACTTGAGATTTTCAAACACATATCCATCCATGTACCATTTTTCACCATTGAAAGCAATCTCTCACAGTTTCAAGACTTCAAGATTCTGCAGCGCCGCAACAACTTCCATTGCTTCCCAAGGAAGTCCACAACCACTTAAACTCAGCTTCCTCAATGTTGGAGGGAAGAAAATTACAGGCTCGAATTCAACGAGTTTGTTAGGGCTGGGATTCAAGACACTGAACTTGAAAGCTTCAAGCTGCTCAAGCTTGTCTAAATGAAGGCCTACGACACCCGGTTTTTCGACCCACAGACCTATTTTTTTCAAATTAGGCATGCTACTAAGAACCTCTCTGGTGCAAGAAGCGGCATTGATATCTGTAAGGGATTGAAGGTTGGCAAAGAGGGGAGGATTTTCAGGGATTTTGGGCAAATCAGTTTCTGGCAGTACAAGATGCCTTAATTGTTGCATACTCCAGAATTCATCAGGCAGAAAAGATTTGCCCAGGAATATGATCCTCGGCTGTCTACAAACAATCAAGATTTGAATATTTTGGAGCTTGGACAAGGATGATGCAAGCTTCCCATTATATGTCAAAGACAGGTACCTTAAATGAATCAGTTGACCCAATTCTTGCGGGAATCGAATGAAGTAAATTGTATAAGCATCTAAAACCCTCAGCAGATCATAAGTTAAAAATAGCGGCATTGGATGATGATGATGAAGATGAGAGCCAGCATAGATCAGGGTTCTTGCATCTGAAATTGACTTTGTGGTGTGATAAACATCTTTCAAGCAAATGAGAATGTTCTTGTGAACAGACACGCGTCTTTGGGCCTCTGCACCTTGCTCTAATTTCTGGGCATTTGCATACCTCCTTACAGAGTGAAAGAACTTCTCCTTCCCCGATTCTTTCACAGCTAAATCGCGCAAACTGTCGTGCAATCCACAGGTCTTAATCCTCCCATCTGAACTAAACTTCCGAACAGTAGTCAGATTTCTCTGTGTAAGATCCACCAAGTACTCCTCCGCAACCTTTGCCAACCTTTGTTGCTGTGGAGTTGTCACTAGAAATCCTTCAGCAACCCATAGTTTAGATAGTTTAGAGAGAGGGATAGCACTATCTTCTGGAAATGCCCCCAAATAAAGGAAGCATCCCTTCAGCTTAGCAGGCAAGTGATTGTAGCTCAAAGATAGTATCTCTAAGTAAGCATCTTCTCCTTTTGCAGCTGCAGCATTTGTGTCTTCCTCAATTGTCTGCCAGTATTCCTTCGTCTGCCTTTCTTGCGAGAGAAGACCTCCGATGACAGTTAGAGAGAGAGGGAGACCGTGACAGTTCTCCGCAATTTTCCTTGCGATTTTCTCCAAGGGGGGAGGGCATGGCTTCCCTTCAAATGCCCTGTCACACAGAAGAATCCAACTGTTCTCTTCATCAAGGGGCTGCATCTCATGACAAAATTCAGAAGATTTGACAGATTTGGCAACATTTAGAATTCTTGTAGTGAGAATAATCCGACTTCCATTCTTGTTATCCGGTAACGAATTCCTCACTTTATCCCAAGTATCAATGTCCCAGATATCATCAATCACAACGAGATATGTATTATTGTACAAGCTTTGATGCATATGAACTTTCAGCTCATCATCACTTCCTATATACACCCTCTCTCCTGCTTTCTGACCCCTACTTTCCATTGAATTCAACAATCGGGCTAAAATATCTCCAACATGATAATCTTGAGATACAGTAACCCAAGCACGAAACGTGAAACTGTTCTTTATTTTAGGATCGTCATAAATACTTCGAGCCAGAGTAGTCTTACCGATGCCAGAGTGAAATCCTCCATACGGCTTATATGGAGGATTTGAAGTCTGTCTTGGTAGTTGGTCAGGTCGGGGGTGAGCAGCTTCTTGTCCTTCTCCTGCCCCACGATAGTACGGCCGATGAGACGGGACCTGGGCAGCGGAGGAATGTCGCCGCCGCCGTCGAGCCATGATTGCCTATCTTTTCTGATGGAATCTGCGAGCGCCTTCGCCTGAGATGTGATGGGGTCGATCGATTCTGTTATTTCCAGAAACGAGAAGGACGCGGATTTGGCGGAGAGGAAGGATTCGACCACGTCTTGAACTTGGTAGATTGCGTCGCGGATTAGGGTTTCGAGGATGCCTGCGGTTTCTCTGGCGTGTTTGGGCGGTGGGAAGATTGTCCCAATGGAGCTTCGCAGAGAGGAGAGATGGTGTGGAGGAAGGATACAAGCTGCTGCGGCTTTTGTTCGTGAAGAGGGTATCGATCATGGGAGTCCAAGAGCAGCTGCTCTAAGAAGACTACGGCGGAATAAGCGGCCATCTCAAATTAATTAATTTGAGCAGAAGGCCCTTCCATTTTGAACCAATCAGAATTCAGAGTTAGCTACTTCTTACTCATCTTACTTTCATGGCCAAATATGCTTGCTTGAAGGCTAAAGGCTTGTTTACTTCCATGATTGGTTCCATATTGTAATTATATTTAAAATTGCCAATAAAAATAGAATATATATAAGAGAAATGCTAGAGTCACAAATACTTTGATCATAAAATACACAATCTTGTCATCTGTGTATTTAAATGTTTACTTTTTAATTATTTACTCTGTAACATTATTTAATTCACTTGGTGAGGTACACAAATGACAAGATTGTGTATTTTGTGATCAAAGTGTTTGTGACTCTATCATTTCTCAATATATAAATATTCTCTCCGTCCAATAATAAATTTCCTATTTTAAAAAACGTGCAAAATTCCATCTTTTTTAAAAAATACTTTGTGTACAACATGGTACTTCTTTCGTTCTAAAACGTTTTTCACAACTACTAGTTACACGGTTAAACTTATATCACTTTCTTTATCTATTTTCGTTAGTTATTTCATAAAATAATATAGTCTTATCATCTCTTATTTTGTAGAACTTTTGATGTAGTTTTTAAATATATAAAAGTCTAGCCGTGTGACTTTTCTTTCCTTTAAGGGGTTGTACAACTCGTTTATTCATACAATATTTTAGGGGTTTATCTACAAAGTCCTAGTGGGTTATTGGTGGTGTTTTACCAAATGTACCAGGGGACTTATAGGGTTTCTCTTTGAACCTAATTAATATTGTATGTGGGTCTAGAATTGTGTTGTAATTCTAGACTATTAAGTTGTACTTGCATTATTTTTATACTGTTGGTTTTACCTCCGTAAAGATGGTTTTCCAATTATAGTCATTGATATGATCTTTATTTTACGCTTGTGGTTTCTCTTTTTTCTTGTACTACTAGTTTGTTACTTCTGTTGCGTGGGAATTTCGGTGCTAAATTTCCCAACAAGTGGTATCAGAACTTTTGGGTTTAGTTTTGGTGTTCCTAGTAGTCATTGATGATGTCAAGTTTGGGTTCGGGGTCTCAGTTTGTCATGCCAAAGTTCGATAGAAAGAGTAGCTTCACCTTATGGTAAAGAAGGAATAAGGATCTCCTTGTGCACTTAGACTTTTAATTTTTAGAGCCCTGAACGAAGATGAGGGCAAGATGAAGTCTATGAGTGGCGGTGATTGGGAGGATTTGTGCGAAACCGTTGGCACCATCCGGTTATGGCGAATATCTTAACCAACCATCTTCATTTAAAGTCCAGGTTGTATCGGTTGCAGATTGTGGATGGCGACACCTTAATTGAGCACATAAATGTGTTCAACGGACTGATAGACGAGTTGAAGTGGATCGATGTGAAAATTTAAGAAGTGGATCATGCGTTGATTCTTCTTGACTCTCTACTAAACACATATGAGACTTACGTGGATACCATTTTGTGCGACAAGGACACGATTACCTTGGAGAAGGCACTATGAGCTTTGTTGTCGTTTGATGCAAGAAAGAAAGACAAAGATGGGGTACGGAGCGACGATGCAGTCGCGGCGGTTGCTCATGGTGGTGGGAGAGGTCGTTCGTCTAGCAGGGATTTTAGGTCAAAGCACTCGATGTATAAGTCTTAGAACGCACCTAAAAATGGGGTGCAATGCTACAAGTGTGGAGAACTCGAGCATATTAAGAGGAATTGTCCTATGAAGCGTGAGGGGAAAACTGGCACCAACTTGTTCGAGGTGGAGAGACTGGTAGTAGTTGTCTTGGAAATGAAAGTGACGAATTGTTTGCATTCACTAATGATAATGGTGAAGCTTCTAGCAACGATTGGGTGCTTGATTCCACGTCGTGAGTCCAATGTGCTCTAGGTAGGAACACTTTGAGACACTCCAGAAAGGCTTGATTAAGAGGTTGAGGTTAGCGGATAACTCGACGGTGGAGGTCATGGGTGTTGAAGTGGTGAAGGTGAAAGTATTTGATGGAGTGTTAAGGACTTTGGATAATATAAAATACGTTCCCAAGTTGATGTAGAATCTCATTTCACTTAGCCAGTTGGACTCCGAAGGATATGAGCACAAGACTCGTGGGGGAGTGGTTAGAGTGTAAGAGTTGCACCGTTGTGATTAAGGGGAAGTTGAATCACAATTTGTAACATATGGTGTGTCATACGACTATGGATTGGGCGGAACAGAAATACAAAAGACATGTCTCATTTGCGGATGAGGCAACAATGGTACATGGCTTCTAGGATATTGCAAGTCTTCCTTAGGTTGGACGGGGAAATTGTTGGAACTGTTTCCCAAATTTTTTCAATCCAATAGAGTGTTTTTATTGTTATTTGAAGTGTTGTCTTGGATTTTAGAGGGTCATGGTGCATGCATTTTAATTAATGCATGGCCATTTGTTGCACTTGAGACTTTGTAATTTTTTCGGGTTGTTCATTTTTCCCACGGTGTTGGTGGCTTGGCATTTATTTGATTGCTTTATATTTATGTTTTTCTTTTTTGCATAGGTGTTGGATGTGTAGGTGCCCAAGAAGAGCAAGGTAAAAGTCCACCCGTGTGGTTTTTCTACTTAGTTAGTCATATAAGAACAATGTTAGGTTCAGAAACAGAATGATCACAAACTTTACAAAATTATTATTTATGGTTTAAATTCTCATTTTAAAATTATTTTAGACTATTTATTTTTTTAAATTGAAGTATACAAATAACAAGTTTGTGACGATTGTATTTGTGAACCAAACATTTCCCTCATACAATATTTTAGCTTTTACTCTAAAGAGTCATAGTGGGTTATTGGTGGTGTTTTACCAATTCAATTGTACTTGAGGATTTAGAAGGTTTCGATCTCTTTGTACCCAAATATTAAATTTGGTCTAGTACTAGTGTTTCAATCCTAAGTGGTTAACCTGTACTTGCATAATTTTTATAGTGGTGGTTACAGTTATAACCCTTGGTCTGATCTCTGTTTTAGCTAACAATTTCACTTTGTTCTTGGACTACTAGTTTGTTGCTTTCTTATACAAATAATATACTCTCTCCGTCCCATATTATAATGCATGTTCACTGGTCACAGAGTCAAAACTTCATTCACTTTCTATCTCTATATTTATTAGCAATTTGATAAAATAAAGTACTATTGTCACTACTAGTTTTGTAGATCTTTTAATGTAGTATTTTACTCCGTAATATGTAATTTTTATTTTTTAACTCTATACCATTTGTCATATAAAATAATTTGAAAATAATTTTAGTAAAAAATCGTAAACCGAAACAGGCGTTATAAAATGGAACGGAGGGAGCATCAGATAAGGAAGATCTTCAAGCTCCAGAAGGGGAGGTCAATAGAGAGAAAAGAATCGTACGGGACATGCACCGTGGAAGGGGAGGTGAATACGATCTCCTGCGAAGCACGAGATTAACACTAGTGGACTAAATTTTTCTGTGTTTGGTGCACTGGTAGAAGAAAAATAATTTCCAGAGAAAATATTTTCCTTCAATGGGAGAAAACAATTTACATTAAAAATTAAAGGAAAATTTTCATTCTCTTTCCGCTTCATTCCCACCCCTAAACCTCCGTCCAACTCTTATCCCTTTTTTTATTTTCCAGATTTAAATTTAAAATTTAAAATTTAACATTTAAAATTTAGGAACATATAGCGGGAGAGAAGCCAACTTCAATTCTGACATTGGATTTTTTAGTGTGCCCATAATTTCAATAGGGATTTTTTAGACGTTTAACCCATTTTTCTCCTTGCCTTGGTATTTTGTCCCAAAAAAAAAGTGGACAAAGAGAGTTGGACGGAGGAGTATATTGTAACTTTATAAAACTTGTAAGGATGCTAGGTGCACACCACTTTGATGCTATATATTTTAGTGTAATAGGAAAAATTATTTGACCAGTTAGCATAATAATCATCAAAAAAGTTTGGTGATACGGAATGCACGCTTCGTTGAGTTTGCTATGATAAAAACTCTCGTCTTAATGGGAGTTCCAAGGGGACAACTCCCCCTTTCCCCCGAGGCCCGAGCAGGGTTCAAGGGACGGTAGCCCCTCCGGGTCCAAGGGGTAGAGCTTTTTATTTTAGACAAAGTGTTGGGCAAAAGATTGAATTTTAATTTTTGGAATTTATGTATATTAAATTTTCCCGAAAAATCACCTCCTCTGTCTTGTTTAGCGCGACTAAATGCGATTGGTTTTGTGCGGATAAACGAAAAGTTTGAGATAAAAGATGCAGTTGATTTTTCGACCAAAATTTTGAAAGTGCTACACGACTCTTAATTTGATCCACGTTATCTTCGTTATCCGCAACATTTGATTTGCACCATTTGTACACCAATATCTTACAATACCTACGCGGACAACAAAATTATATGTGCACACATAAACAATAACACACTGTTCGAACTTAACAACAATGCCAGCTTACAGAATGTTTCGTATCACATGAATAAAGACCTATGATTTTCCTAAGAGTTTCGGGATACTAATCCTGAACTTGAACAGAGAATCAAGATACAAACGAAACCTATCCAACTCTGACCGTGAAGCCGTCGATCCATAGAATTTCACATCGACTGCTTTCTCAACTTCTCCTCGAATAAATTTCACCTCCCGGGAAGTGTCAAATGCAGCAGACTCTGGGCTATCAAGCAGTGGCAATGCTACAGAACCCTTGGTCTCCACGCTTCTGATCCATCCCCGTAAAAGAAAATTCACAACCTAAAGCACAAATTTAGATGCTTATGCTTTCCTTCTTATTTGAGGTGATGAAGAAAAGGTTAAGGCATAATAATAATAATAATGATATACCTCAGGGACTTCATCATGTGGGCAGTGACCAGCAGGGCTTATCTCATAATATGGAGCTTCGGGCATCCGCCTCTTGACCCGTAGACCCCAGAATGGGGTCACCCACGGGTCTTCCTTCCCATAAACAAGACATATGGGTATATTGTTTTCTTGACACCTATAAATGTTATGTGTGCAGACATTTTTAGAAGGAATCATATGAAGGACAAAGCAATTTTTGCACTACCTACCTAGAGAGAGCCTCGCTGAATGATATTTGACTTCGGGGAGCGAACATCATAGAGGCTAGGGATGCAGCAGCCGCAGGATGTTTTGTTGTCTCAATTATATGAGAAAACACTTCATCCACATTTGTAGAGTGGTCTGCGTAAACCTGCTTAAGAACCTCAGCTATACTTTCAGGATCACTGATTTTCTGCCATCTAAAAGAATTAATAGAAAAGTTGTCGAATTCAATACCAGATCCAATAGAACAGAAATTTCTCAGAGTGTATAAAAAGGGCAGCATTTCCATTCCCCTGTGGAGCCAAAGATTCACTATATTTTTTGCTTTGGGGTATGATAGAATAAAGCAAATTGGCTCTTTAATGTCTGTGCATCTTGCAATTGTGAAATAGCAGTTAGTCAATGCAATTTTCGACGCTCATCATGGGTCATCTGGAAATAGACGCTCTATGTTTTAAGGGTCAGACTGTGTACATCCGACCCCCCTTGCCCCGCAATGGGCGGGAGCTGTTGAGGCTCTGGGGTAATGTTGTTTTTTTTGTATAAAAAAGGGCATCAGGTGCATAAAAGTTATGGGGTGTCAATTTGATTATATAATAGAGATATCAAGGAACAATAAGTTTGGAGGGGTGAGCATGAAAACAAGGAAACCAAATGGAAATTAATGAATTAAGTTCAATACTTACAAAACCTTCATGACATTCCTAATAGAATTTGGAAGAGGAAACGTCCCAGCCCACGGAAATATTCTTGATAGTTTTGGCGATTTAATAGGATTAGGAAGGAAACTCCAAAAAGGTGTTGCATTTAGCAATGTAACACCTTTCACCAATTGAGGGTTGCTTGCTGCAAAGTACAGCGCAACAAACCCACCTAGTGAATTTCCCACAACATAAACTGGTTCTTTAATAACCTGCACCAGAATATCACAGTTAGATCAGCCAAATAACATCAATGTCTTTGTGTATTGATTAAAAAAACTCTGCAATACAGTTGAGATACGAAAAAAATAAGGCATAGCTGAAATGATGAAGAGCCATGTTATAGGAGAAAGTTAGATATCCATGCATTCAGTATATATTTATGTTTATATTTTTATTTTCTAAGCAACAACCCAAAATCTTCTTTTCTCATCCCAGGCATGTCCTCCGAAGTGTCTGTTCCTATATTAGGATAACAACCTATACTGTTCAACAAGCATACAACACACCTTTGGGTGTGTCTCTACTTCATACCTCCTCAATGAAGTAACGAACTTGGTCTCTCCAAAGGTCCACAGAATAAACCAGCTCTTTTGCCCAAGGTTGAGCTTCATTTCCAAATCCCCACATGAGATCTTCTCCAACAGAGTTTGAGTGATCAGCAACACCTTCGACCTGCAAAGTTAGGTTATTTCTTGGCAATGACTTACCCTGCCCTAAAAAGTCCAAGGCCCACACTCTTAAATGGCAACCAAGATCCTTCAGTTGTTTTCTATAATGAAACGAACCGACACCAAAACCGGGAAGAAAAAGCACGTGTGGGGAATTCACATTTTCAGACCCAGATTTCTCATAATGAACAACCAGTTCCGGCTTCCATTCCCAGAAAGAACTGCTAACTGAAGCGACATGATCACCCTTCGCCTCATTTGGCACACCAGGAATGAAAACCCTTCGAACTGCTTCTCCAGCATCATCAATTACATAGGAATCACAGTCCCCACTCCAACATGAACTTGAATCTTTAACAGCACTGACAGTCGGATAACATCGGCAAGCCAGACGTTTCTTTGATCTTGAGAGATCTGAACATTTTCTCCTCAAACAGACAGGTCTTATTACAGAATAACACAAACCCTTCCCAGCTAGTGTGGGAATTCTTAATTGAGTAGAACTCGGATGTATATCGATCATTTCACTTCTAACATTCAGAGCATAAGAGCAAGGCGCATAATTACAGGAAAACGATTCCATCGTCGAAGACAACAATCTGAAACACACAATTAGGGTTTCAATCCCAACATAAACCGACACTTGCAAGCAATCGAATCTCAAGGAAATGAAGAACGCGGGAAAGTAAAATCATATCGATTCCAATTCCTAACTAACAAATCGTTTACTCATTGAAAGAAAACACAAAATTAATGCTACCTTTAAGGGTTTAATCAGCAGAGCTGGGCTTCATCATCTAACACCTGCAAAATTCACTGAGAAAGAGGGAAATAAATTTCTCGTCTTTAAGAAAAAAAAAATCTTCTTCAGCTAGGGTATACGATTAGATTCCATAAAATTCCGGAGGAAGAAATGGAATTGAGCCTGTAATAGATCAACAAGTTGCGGCGAGGTTTGAATTTGTTCTTGCTTATGTCAAATTTTCGGGAATTCCGGGGCCATGTGGCAAGAAAAGAGGAGTACACGCAACTTACACCTGTCGTTTATAAACCAGGTTCGCACCCCAAGCTATTCTACAAAAAATTACTCCGTACTACCTTCTATTTTGTCAATAAGAACTCTAAGTGTCATTATTTTTTTAAATATATTTTAAGTGTCCAGGTATCTTCAATTATCCGAAAAATTACATGGGGTGACAATCTGTCCATGCCTCCATATATTCGGATCATTATTGAAGAATAAAAATTAATATATAATAGAATATAAAGTTCAGTAAAGGATTGAATATGAAAATTTTATCTCTATCACAGTGGAATATGTAATACTAATATTGATAAAAATTACAGATATTCCCCATTATTAATTCTTATTTTGTTTGTCCTTACAAAACAATTGTTATTGAAGACTATTTGAATTCTTACCATTTATAGATAAGTATTTTTTAAATTTTTCATTCAAGTTTATTTCATCAGTTGGTTTATTTTCATTTAAAAATATGTACTAAATTTCTTGCCATTTTTAGATGAGTGTTTTTATAATAAAATATATATTTCATCCTGATGGGAAATAATACGTGGCTCGGCCCACATTTCCCAATTATTTTACGAAGAATAGTCAAATCGGGCCTGTTTCATAAAATAGAGGAATAAGAGAATATTCTTCCAAAGATGCTCCCCCTCCCTCCTATAAAAGGAGGGGTGCCCCTAATGTGAAGAGGAGGCCAAACTCACTCTCTTCCCTGCCCATTATACTTTCTCTCTCTAGAGTTTTATATATTTTCTTCTTAAAGAGCTTGTAGCTCCACCATTAATGGCTTCCGAGCCCGATTCTTGTACCGTGTACACACCCCCGATATCAATAAAAATCCCCCGTTGGCAAGGTACCGCCAAAAAAGGCCCGTGGTTTTCTCCCGATTTGGATTTCCACGTAAAAATCCCCGTGTTTATAGTTTGGTGTATTTTTTAGACTAGTTTATCGTTTTAGCCGGGCTAAAACGATATACCGGTCGATAATTTACACCATCATTTTGGCGCCACCCATGGGACCTGAGCGAAAAGCCATATTTTTTAGTTTCTTCATTTCCAAAGGATTAGAGGAGAGGGAGGTGTTGCTCAAAAAAAAAGAGAGATGAAAGAAAAGAGGAGCAGAATTGTTTTTTGTTCTTTTTTCCCCACGCCAACAAAAAAAGAGAGAGAGATCCCGATTAAAAAAAACCACCTCTGGTTATCATTTCTCAATGGGCGAAATCCTAGCCCAAATATCCTCTGAATTTCCGCCGCCAGAAACCGAAAAATTAGAAGGGAAAGAATGGGAGGTTTTCCTTCAAACCAAAGAGAAGCCGCCGCCCCACAGTGAGAAGCCGCCGCCGACAAAGAAAAACCGCCGCTGCACGATTAATTTGCCGGCCTCCACCAATTCGGCGAGCCGTATCACCAAAATCACCGTCACCACCAAAGAATTCGATCTCTGCCGCCGTCCTTTGTTGCAGCCCAGCTTCATCCCCTGGCGAGAGGGAGAAGAGTTTTACAAAAAAAAGAGGCGTGAAATTAGCAAATTGCCAGATCCCCCACCAGATCCTGTGCGACCTTGGATCGCCGCCCTCCACCCTTTGGCTCTACCGTCACCATTGACGTTGCATGAAGCTACTGCTGAAATTGCAAGGCCGCCAAGATGTCTTCATCACTAAAGCACTCATTGCCGTCGCCCTTGATCGCAGCCCAATTTCCAGGGACGATTTGCGTACTCCGTTAAAAAAAATGGAGGAAAGAA